TAATGAATTACAAGTGCACCATGTGAGCACTGCCGCTGGGTGAAGCGGGGGAGGTGAAACCAAAAACAAGGCCATACCATGTTCTAAAAAGGTAAAAACCAAATATTAAACTCTTGATTTTCTCTGTTTCTATGGACACGGTTATCAATAACATTATAATGGGGAGTTGGAAAATATGAAAGACTCCAAATCTGAAGACAGATGAAATTGCCCAAACCACTTGGTGCCTGATCTTTTATGCGGTTCAGAAATCACTCCGCTGGCCTTATATCTATTCTGCGCATCAGTTCACCAAAACCAAAACGAAGTGAGATTTCTCATTTGTAGTAAATTTGTGTGATAGGTCAAAGACAAAACCTGCTTAATTCTTGTCTGATGAGATCGACTTTAGGCCACACCCACATCCTAGGACAGTGGAATGGAAAATTACTGGACTGTACCACTTTAAACCAAGAGGGGAGGGGTGCAGCTGCCTCTTACTCACATTAGCCATTATATTTTTCTATTCTATCACATTGAAGGCTCTATCTAGATTGCAGTTTGATAAGTTTCAAAATCTCACAAACAAGGGCAAATTTTTTCCTATTTAAAGTTAAAAATACAGTACTGGAAGCCAGCATCACACCTGACCTAACTTCCATAAGAATAATTTCATAACATAACATGTAAATGTCAGAATCTGTAATTAAATGAGAAACACACAAACTGATTTGCCTTTTCATTGTGGACAAATCACAGTTATGTCTCTATATTTCTACATTTGATTTATTTGATCAATCTATTAAGAATTAGCTTAAATTTCAATAAATAACCATGGTGACATGGTTTTAACCATAACTACTATGATATACCAACATGAATACCATTTCATGTTGAAGTGCACCGCTTTGTAAGAATTTAAGATACATAACAAATAATGTCACACAACAGCAGTGGCACGTATTGAGAGTATTGAGAATCAATATGCATTTTGTCACTTGACCAGTTATATAATGTGATATATTATTTTTAATTATTTCTCTACAGAAAATGCTGCAAGATACAAGTATGCTCTGTGTGACATGGTACAGTGATGTGGCCTACCTGAATGGCACTTTACGCCCTTGTCTAATATACACATTAAAATTTCAGATGAATCTGAGTTATGTCATCAAATTCTGCTCATATTTATCACTGAGGCCAAAAACTCTTGGCCTATAGTTGTCATGAGCCAACAGCTGCACAGTGCCGACTTACATCTGGTAGCAAACATGTATAAACCAGGACTGCTGTCACACTAACTCCCCCTTTTCTCCACATGGAGCTCCCCAGAAGGTCTCAATTTTAATGATAGAAAACAAAACAAAATAATTTTTTATTTACAATCTTAAAATCTTAATGAAGCTAGCTCTACAAATTGCTGATTTATAAAACTCAATACAGACAATCTTACACGGGATAAGAAGTTAAATAAATTCAGCAAAGTCAAATATAACATCTACAAGAAAGCTTTTGAAAAATGTATGTGGCGCCTTTAAGGGCTGCTTCCTCTTCTGCAGATAAAAAAAAAAGAGACTGTAATGAATTACAAGTGCACCATGTGAGCACTGCCGCTGGGTGAAGCGGGGGAGGTGAAACCAAAAACAAGGCCATACCATGTTCTAAAAAGGTAAAAACCAAATATTAAACTCTTGATTTTCTCTGTTTCTATGGACACGGTTATCAATAACATTATAATGGGGAGTTGGAAAATATGAAAGACTCCAAATCTGAAGACAGATGAAATTGCCCAAACCACTTGGTGCCTGATCTTTTATGCGGTTCAGAAATCACTCCGCTGGCCTTATATCTATTCTGCGCATCAGTTCACCAAAACCAAAACGAAGTGAGATTTCTCATTTGTAGTAAATTTGTGTGATAGGTCAAAGACAAAACCTGCTTAATTCTTGTCTGATGAGATCGACTTTAGGCCACACCCACATCCTAGGACAGTGGAATGGAAAATTACTGGACTGTACCACTTTAAACCAAGAGGGGAGGGGTGCAGCTGCCTCTTACTCACATTAGCCATTATATTTTTCTATTCTATCACATTGAAGGCTCTATCTAGATTGCAGTTTGATAAGATACAGCGATTCCTACAAGTGTATTTTTTAAATCGCTAACTCTTCAGTAAAGCTGCCAATTCAACGACACAAAACAGAGTGACATAGTCCATTTATTACTTTGGCACTTTCTTCATTAGTTTCTATCTCAAGATAAACAACTACACATTAAGATCTGTCATTTTTTTGTCCCTCACCCAAATTACCACCTTTGCAGGACACTGATTATGTCTGCAGCTTCCTAGCACCAACACGGCACAGTCGCTACACTGATGTTGTAGGACTGGCCTTTAATGTCTTGAAGTGAGGTATGAACATACCCAAGACACAAATGTACATTTCCAGTTGTGAAAATTCATTATATTAACAGATTTTTGATTCCGTGTGGCTGGGCAAAGGGAGAGAGTGAGGACAACTCTTTCTTGTCCTTTTTCCAATGTATCCTTGTGAATAACTAACAAGGTAGTTTTTCCCACCTGAAACAGTTTGTTACGAACAAAAACAGTGACAACGTTTAAGTAGCTTTTTGCTGTTTGTTTTAACATTTAATGTCATATTAATCAGAATTTTAAAAATTTGCCAGTGTAATATTATCAATTCTATGGTATTAGAAAGTAATTAATTTATCGCTGGCCACTGCCACTGCTAGCTGACATTTTTTGTTTTACGCATTTCTAACATATACGAAGCCAACCTGGAAGTGGCTTCTATCTGACGGCCACCAGAGGGTGACAGTTGTGGTTGCAAAAAGAACCTCTGGTTCTACAGAGATCTATGGGGGGAAAAAAGTTTATTTTGACCACTAAACATTTTAATTGAGCTTAATTGAGCATTCTGTTTTTTTGCAACCGAAAGGGCACCGGTTAAAACACACATCCAAACTGAATACAATCTTAAAGCGAACACAGGTAAAACTACAAACTGTAGCATAGCATATTACTATTACAGTAATTGCAAAAACCTGGATTACAGGAAAAGCACAATAAATAGCTACAGCAAAGTCAAATATAACTTTAAACACACACACAAAAAAAATAGGTTGTGCCTTTAAGGGCTGCTTCCTGTTCTGTAGGGAAACAACAGTCTCTGTAATGAATTACAAGTGCACCATGTGAGCGCTGCAGAAGTGAAGAGGGGGAGGTGAAACCAGAAACAAGACATGATTCAAAAAATTAAAAGCAAATATGAAACTGTTGACTTTATATTAACAGATTTTTTAAAAAAATATATGTAAGATGTTGGAAAATATGATGAAAGACTACAGCACTGAAAACTGAGAAATTGCCCAAGACATTTGGTGTCTGATCTTTAGTGCAGTGTAGTGATCATGTACATCTTTCCATCTTTCCACCAAAACCATAAAAGGTGGAGATTTCAGTTTTCAAGTAAAGTCACTGGCAGGTAAAAAAACAAAACCTGCTCAACTCTTGTCTGATCATTGACTTTAGGCCACACCCACATCCTAGGAGAGTGAAATGGAAAATTACTGGATTGTACCACTTTAACCCAAGAGGGGGAGGGGGCGGGTTCAGCTGCTCAATATGAGGAATGCAGCTTTCTCCTACTCACTTCTAGTCACTTTAGACAGCTAAGTTAAAAAGATTATACTGTAGCAGTGAATTTAGGGATACCATCTAGTAAGAGCTAAAAAACCTTTGTGGATATTATTAAAAAAAAAAAAGCCACATTTTCATTTAGCATCCACAGAAGATCAATAACGGACGCCACAAAGCTTTTTGTTATTTCAACATGCTGATTATATTCGCTGCTTCCTAGCACCGACATGGCGCAGTTGCTACATTGACTTTGTAGAACTTTACCTAAAAAGCCATAAAATGAGGTACAAAAACATCAGAGACACAAGTGTGCATTTCCACATTCTGAATTGGGAAGCAAACTTAAAGTATTTGATTACTGATGAGATGTAAGAACTCTTTCTTCAATCAGCAGATAGTAAAGCGACTGTTATTTATATCAGCTGTCCCCAACCCCTGGGCCTCGAACCGGTACCGGTCCGTGAGTCGTTTGGTACCGGGTCGCAAGAGTTGAGGCTCAGGTGTGAAATGTATGGTTTTCAGGGTTTTTATCGGTTTTCAGCGTTATTTTGTTATCGTTTTTATCGTTAACTCGGTTTTCCTGGGTCTTTTCACCTGTGTTAAGAATAAAAAAAAATTTTCATTACCGGTACTAGTTTTATTTTGTTGTATTTATCCGCGACACCTTAAAGGCCGGTCCGTGAAAATATTGTCGGGCACAAACCGGTCCGTGGCGCAAAAAAGGTTGGGGACTGCTGATTTATATAACTAAAGATAAAGGTGACTTGTTTCATAACGTTTATCAGAAATCAAGGAATAGACATGTAATTTTTTTAAAGCTCAAATGTTCTAAAATATATGCTGTATGTAATTTTAAAAAACTACCTGAATAACAAATGTAAGATATATCAGCATTCAAATCAATTCACAGTTTAATGCTAGCATACACGGATGTTATGACTCCAGACTGGTTATGCAAACGACTTTTCTAGCACACACAAAAAAACGAATCGAATATAACCCATTAGAGAAATTAAAAAAAAAAATGTCTGTAAATAAAAGCTGCAAATAAAATGTTTTCACTCCGTGATATCGATTAAAAAAACCAAAACAGTATCAATATACCATTATTCATTTAGCGAACACTGACACTGCTAGCTGACAGGGTTTTCATTATGCATGTCTGCTGTAATCCCGGTCTGTAGGGGTCACTGTTGCATTGTATGCAGCCAACTACCAGTAACAGGTTTTTTTCCCCTAATTCATATCAAATGTTTCTGTTCAGAACCACAAGTTCCATAAAGGATGACATTCACTGCTATTAAATAAAAGTACAAATAAGCTTTCTGGGTAGCATGCTAACTGCAGTACCTCGACTCACCGAATTTCTCTACGCTGTCCGCCGACGTTCCCGCGATTTTAAGCTTCGTTCCGTACGGTCCCCTCCTCACCCGCTGGTGTCCAAACCAACTCTTACGGACCCCCTGTGTGAAGCGCCGATGCTCTCGGGATGCGTTATGAGTGCTGCATCAAGTCCACGTTCTCAAGATGAACCGGGGAAACTAGTGAGCTGTGCCACAACAACAACTGTTGTGTTCGCGGATTCAACCGACTGCTCCGCGCCCCCTCTGACTCGCGAACAGACTCCTCCTCCTTTCGCGCACGCACAAAAAAACTCCAACGGCTGACGTTGCGACCGGGGGAGAGGGGGTTTGGTCGTTAAACGACTAACGGTCGCACAGTCCAGAGATGCAGTCTGAGTGGTTCACTCGTTTTTTTTTAAAGCATCCTGTTGGTCACCGTGCTGAAGTCGGTAGATAAAAGCAGGCAAGGTATGTATATGAACCGCTGCAGGATGTTTTAGGTCGGTTAGTATGGAGGATATGCAGGACTCAAAGAAAATGTGCTGCAGCTTGTAGTTACCCTGCAGCAGGAGGAGCAGGTTTGAGACAGAATCACAGAGCCAATGAGTGGTAGAGAACAGGCAGCTGAACATTGGCATGGAGGGGGAGGGGTGTCCAGACAGAGCCCAGAGACATTACAGTGCTAAGGGGGAGGGGTTATAGGGAGGGGGAGGAGCCTTCTGCCAAACAACAGCCTGAAAATTTGTCTGTAACCTAACTACAGACAGTAGTGTGATTGTAGTTTTGTAAACCTACACTCACAGTTACACAGACCTGCTGCATCGGCAAGCATGGTGGTTATGCAGGGTGTTAGGCACATTGAAGTGTTGCACTTTCTACGCGGAAGTGCACACATGAGAAGAGTCCACCTGAAGATCCCAGCGAGTAGTTATGTTATGTTATGTTATGCTATGCTATTTATTAGAAACAACAGTCTTTTTGCAGTCATTTCCTTCTGAGATCACAAAGCATTAATTCAGGTCAGCCATTTTGTGCACTCGCTTGTGCTTGAGGAACTTGCTGTTCCCCAAGAGGCCAGCAGGGGGTGAGTTATAGTGGTCTTATATTCTCATGTTTGTTGGTATTCCAGAAAAGGAATAGCTTAAACCTTTGCACCTCGTGTTGTCTGAGTCCCTTTGCAGCAGAATCCATGTGATCGGGAGCAGGGGAGCTGGTATCTGTGCTCTCCAAGAGCCTGCGTGTCTCTCTCTTTCTCACACCCTTTTGCACACCGACATGTCTGCAGTGCTGGAGAAAGCAGCCTTGAGCTTAGACAAGTCACCCCCTGTGGTCAAATCAGCTAGGCTACACTGTAGCTTAGTTCTCATATATTGATATTGGGGCATAAATTGAACCCACAGCAATAAAAAACGTTTACATTTTCCTTCGCTTAGGCAGTACAAGCAGCCTGAAAATAGCCTGCATAGCTGAAGCTCTCAGAGTTTGGTGAATCACTGTTTAGAGTCCTCAATAAATCATAACACGCTGCTTTGATGGTAGAAGTATTTTTGCATAGTTACCTGTGCAAGTGAAGGAATAAATTCTTTTAAAATTAGAGTACTTTTCAATTTTTTTGTCGGGATTATTTAAAATTCCTAATGCTGGAAATCTCACTATATCGGCAGGTGAGTTTGTATGTTTCGGCAGAGTTATAAAGCTGTCTGTACACATGCCTCTTTATTTAAAAAAAAAATAAATCTCAATAATCGCATTTGTTTCACTCTGTCTTTACACACTCATTTGTAGCCACAAATTTGCTTATTAAAACCCACAGCAGGCTTGACTTCCTGCAGTAATAAAAAAACTACATTTGTATGCATTAGTTTGAAGTACTCACACTTTCACATAATACTTGTTGATAATTGTGAGTTCTTGAGTGGTGTTTGTGTATACATGTATTTATAACAGGGTCCATTCTTCTCCAGCCTTAAAGCAGAATTTTTCCATGTTCCCATTTCCTCCAAATATACCTTTGGTAAGATTTGCAAGGTTGCAGTCTCAGCTGCCACCAGTCTCTCACCTTAATCGAGCTTTCAGAAAGCCGTTGGCTTATCCAGAGGTCGTCTGTGCATAGGTAAGGTCTCCATTTACCGATGCTGAGCCGGGTCCTTTGTCATCATTTGGAGTTTTCAATTGGCCTTTCTGCCCAGCAGTTCTACAGTGTTCCTGTTAATTACCGTTATTAATGATATTATAATAGGCTTTTAAGCATCAGTTAGCTTAACTCGAGATTTCCTAAGTAGGAGAGCAAAGTTGGAGTGGTCAGAAAATTTGTCGGTACAAGTCCATTCACCCACTTTCTTCAGGGACGCCAGGGAGCGCTGGAGCCTATCCCAGCTATCATAGGATGACAGGCGAGACACATACATGAACCGTATGAGACCTAATGAGTTAATTAATGCTGACTTCTGAGAGTTTCCTTGAATGTTTGGGATGGGAGTTAAATATATAATGAAATGACACATCTAATTTCCCCGAAGGGCTTTATTCATTTCTTTTTACTTTGAAATTTAATAAACATTTAATTTGCCTTGAGGTGTCCAAACTTCTGCATGTATTGTAGTGCTTGTTTATAGCAGAAGGAGATTTTGGGTAGGCATGAGTAACAGACACTTGTTTTCAGTGTATAATTTTATTGACTTTGTGAAGCTAACCTCAAACTAACAAGCTAAATATATAAATCTCCACAAAAGCTATGTAGTCTGTTTCAAATAGAAACAATTCTGGAAGGACAAACAATTCTGGAGGATCATTTTTAATATCATTATATTAAAAATATTAGTTTAATACCAAAGCCCACATTAAATTTAGCTTTAACCACCATCCGCACACACTGTTTTTAACCTCAGCTGAACACGATAAGTCAGCCACAAAGCCAATGATAAAGAAACTGTAGCTCACGGTAAACCGCAATCATGATCTGCCAGCCAATTTGTCTACATGGTGTGCCAGGTCCTTTAGAGTCTCAGCGTAAACAAGAGAACGCCAGAAAATCATATTAAAAATTAACTAAAGTTCTTTATGAGCACAACAAAGGGTGCAAAGTTTCAAATCGAACTTTAGACAGTCTTTAATTTGCCATCTTCCCAAGACAAAGTCCACGTAAGGTCAGTTTACGCTAATACGTGTTGGTAATAGTCTGGTTGTCATGTGCTTCCTGCATTCAGTCAGCTTCCTTCCCGAACCGTGTGGTATTTACAGTAGTGCAAGCATGTGGGAAGAGGACTGTTTCCACCCATGTGCCTCATGTCAGAGAAGTGGAAATAGCATCCCAAACTGAGTGCAGTCCTGCAGATGGAAAATGTGATACTGCCCCCATACCTTCCTGTAGTGTACTGCAGTTACAAAAACACATTTATGTGATATGTATATGACGCGTCAACAATAAAATGATGGACTAACCACTTTTTAATAGTCGACGTCATAGATTATGTCAACAAATTGTGGCAGCCCTACTAGCCAACTAGTGTTTCTGATGTCTACTAGCAAGGTGAGTAACATCTATACATCTAGTTAAGTAGTCGCGCATATCTCTATGTAGCAGCAACTGAACTTTCTAAATAACTGAAATATAGCTAGGAGGCCTGTACAGGTAACTTGAATACATGAGAAAGACTATAGTCACCTAGTCTGAAAACTATTGTAAGATTCACTGCTTTAGGTAATGTTAAAAGGTCAATTTTTTTCTGTAATTTTACAAATAACTTTCCTGATATTTCAGTCTTTATTTGCCACATCACTGCTCTTCTGTGTAACATCCCCTTAGTACTCATATTGCTACCAGACAGCTACCAGGATTAAATAATTAAAAACAGCCACAACAAAATATGAAGCTGGAAAATACGCAAGGGTAGCATGTCTTAAGCACAAACATTCTCATTTTAATAGGATAAAAATCTGTGTAAAACCTGACCACTTTTTTATTATTATTATCATCATCATCATCATCATCATCATTATTATTATGTGTGAAGTACAACATTACATCTGAAACAACCAAGATTTCTAATCAGCAGCACAACAAGACATCAACGACGAATAACCAGCACACAGAATTTTGAACCTAGATCACATTTCTCATCTCTCTCATTTTCAGCCCAAAGCAAAGGAACCGGCTCCAACTGGCTGAAACCGGTTCTCATAGACTTGGCATGCTTTCAAAATCTCACAAACAAGGGCAAATTTTTTCCTATTTAAAGTTAAAAATACAGTACTGGAAGCCAGCATCACACCTGACCTAACTTCCATAACTGATTATTCCATATGGATTTGTGAAAACAGCTTATGTAAAACACTGAATCTGTTACTGAAATGGACCTTTATAAGAGTAGAGAACATATCTCTACATATGAGGAAAAATAAAATACAATAACACAAAGTTTTCAAACCACACCCAGCATTGACCCGCCTTCTCTTGATCTCATAGGTAAAGTTTTTAAGTTATTTCTAGGTTGCAGTACTGTTGTGTTGACAAAATCTGGTCACCGGCGCTGAGGCAGACATAAAACCACTGTTGGGATTGTAAATCAAAAAGTGACCTATTGTAAGTTACTTGTTTCTTTAAAATAAATACTCCAATTAGTAATTAATTTTTTACACCCACTTAATATTTTAATCACGTTTTCACACAGAATTTCAACACGTTGAACAGTGTTAGTTCATAAATTAATGTAGCAAAATATTTTGATCACTATATAAAAATAAGGTTTGAAACTGAAGCTAGAGACTAGTATTAGCAAAAAGGTCCAGATGTTGTTGGTCTAGTGACATCTAGAGAAAGGGTTTACATTTTATATACAGAAAATTGATTTTCATGCTTTCCAGCATGTGAAAAATGGCGTCCCTCCTTGGATAACGAGCCTGCTCATTTACAGCCATGGTTCCAGTTACTTTGTGTTTAAATGTTTAGCCTGAAGATGAAACAAGTTTTACTAATTGTTTAAAAATAATGAAAAAAAATCTTCTTGGGTACATCAGTCTGTTTAGTAAATTTCATCCCAATCGCTGGTAGAAAAGTGCAATCAACAGGACAGTGGCAAAAAACAATCACCATCATTTACTAATTAATATCTGCTAAGACTGTGGTCATTGCTAGACCTGATTATCCTGTTCTTCCTGCTCTTTCTTGGGAATTATTTTTCTGTCAGTGTCATCTTTTGTCTAGCATGCTTATGAGTTAGCATTTCTTAAACCAGAGGTTCCCAAATTGTGGGGTCCACCCCCTAGGGGGGGGGGGGCGCAGAGCCATTGCATGGGTGTGGTATGAATTTTTCTTGTAAAACAAAGGTGGGCCCAGCAAAAAAAGTTTGGGAACCACTGTCTTAAACTAAGAAGTTCAGAGAACTTGCTTTTCCCGAAACCGAATGATGCCATTTTCTGGGGATCGTAACTGTGCTTATTTCCTGGAAGTGTCCTGGTTTTGTTTTCATATCCAAAATACGTGATGATGGTGCCCAACTAAAGTACAACTGTATGTTGTACTAGCTATAACTACATGTGACAAATAAATAAAGAATGAGAATAAAGCCCATGTGTTTTCCCATAGATGTCTTGGCTATTGCATGAGGTTAGTGAATAAAGGTTTCGTTAATGGAAATTTAATCTATATATATATATGACAAACTGTCATAATAACTATTGTATGGGTATCAAAATTTAGGAAAAAAATCAGATCTGGTGTTCCTTTAAGCTAAGGACCAACTGACCTACTTTTAGTCCTTCTGTTTCAGAAGGACTAAAATCATATTAAATGATGCAGGTTTGCTTGTTCCCTAGCAAGGGAACCAGCAAACCTGCATCATTTAATATGATTTTTTAAAAATTAAGTAGGATATTGATATACAGCTTCCTGTCACAGTATACATATGACGACAGAAACTACACGATATTGAAACATTTAATATTGCTGCTTTATTGAAATACATATGGTACTATTGTAAACAATGCTAGGACCTTTCTAATAATGTTCCAATGTAGTAGGTGGCGTTATCGTGCTTATCGCTGCTTAATACCTGCCATAAAATGAAAGAACAACAAAAAGACAGTCAGTAACTAGCTAGCAAATAGACACCAAACACAGAGGCTCTAAAACAGTCACTGTAAATCAAACAGGCTCATCATCAGTCTTTCCTTAAACACACACACATTCACAAGTAATTTTGATTCAGTTGGCATTGTGTCGGTGGCAGATGTTTGGCTCTGTCACTCTTTTATCAGTTCATCTGGTTGCATTTTCACTATCTGTTAAGTGTAATTGTTTGTTTTCCCACAGCCATGGTTTAAACGTTCTCTCTGCAGCTCCCTCCACTCTAGTGATGGGATTTCCGGCTCTTTTTAGAGAACCGGCTCTTTCGACTCTGAATCGGCTCTTCAGGTTGTTTTGTTGCTTTAATTATTTATTATTAACAATAATATAAAATTATGCACAAAAGGAATTACCTAATGTACAAAAAAAGTGTTTTATTTATATATGTTTATATATAAATATATGCGGTGGCCCCTAAGCAACGACAAACTCCAAAACACATTTCTAGCATGAACTGAACTTCCAAAACAGAGCTACCTAGATCACTTAAATTACACAATTGAAAGCATGAAAGCATATGTGTATTGTTTGTGTATTTATACACAAGCATTCATATATAGTCAAATAATTTTTAAAAAAAAAGTTCATTTACCTGTTATTACCACACACCAAATCCGGTCGTTGGTACTTGCTGGCTTGTGTAGCCACTAGGCAGTGTTGCCAACTCCTCAGTAAGGAAAATCGCTATTGGCTGTCCTAAAAGTCGCTAGAAGTCGCTAAATGACGTCATCGCCTAATTTGCATAATTGGTCATGCTAATATAATTGTAACCTATGTTGTTGGAGAGAGAAATAACATCGTGGAAGAGACATAAAGTGAGTAAAAAACGTCCTAAATGCATTTAGAAGTTTATTTAGAACTACAAATTAAATTTCTTTTAGCAATTATTGTTTTTTAATGTCACAATTCCAACCCTGCTCCTTTATCCGGGCTTGCGACCGGCAAAAGTGACCCGAAATAGGCACTCTGGTGGAGTTACTTTGTGTGTGTGTGTTATAAGTAGTTTTAAACCTGTGATCCACAAAACAGCATAACAGTAAAAGAAGAACTGACTGCTTACAGTCAGTGCGGGAGCAGCGGCTTCGCTCATGCGCGGTTCATTTGCAGTTTGGACGCAAGGTGTGAACATCTCCTGCAGCTGGGGGAGGACTATCCTCCGCCCGTGAGCGCTTTACGCACGGGTGAGGTGCCCACGGCAGCACCGCTGCTTGTTGAGAGTAAGAGCAACACGCCCTTTCACGTCAAAAAGTCGTCATAAATAAGTCTCCAATAACACCAGAAAAAGTCGCCAGATTTGTCAGCTAGTCGCTTTTTAGAAAAAAAAGTCGCTAAGGGAGCTGAAAACTCGCTAAATATAGCGACAAAGTTGCTAAGTTGGCAACACTGCCTCTATGTAACAAAAGCTCAACACTGCCCCTAGCATCCTGGAGCACTTCTGTTTTGTACTGTTTTGGTTTTATGTGCTTGATGTGTTTTATGTGTTTGGAGTTTGTACGTGCTTCAGAGTTCGTACGTGATTTGAAGTTTGTATGTGCTTTGTCTCTAGGGGCCACCGTAAATATACTTTTATTTATTCACTCCACATAAAATGTAATAAATAAATCATATAATACAAAAATCAACTATTCACATTTCAACTTTTAACTATTTAAATTTTCAGCTTTTTCCTTTTACAAATTTAAAGTGAAACAACACAAAACACTGCAAACCACAACACAATTAAATATAAATTAATAATATGAAAACAAAAAGAACATGCATATTCTCTGTCATATGGACCTGCATGAATAAACTTTCTGAATCCTTTATCATCTGCAACTGAAAATAGTTGTGGATGATACAGTGTTGGGTAAGTTACTTTAAATTAGTAACTTAGTTACATTACTAGTTACTTCTATCAAAAGTAACTCAGTTACTTCAAGTTACTCGTTACTTTCAGAGTAACTAGTTACTAGGGAAAGTAACTTTGGTTTTACTCAGAATTCTCTTGTTAATGTGTTGCTTCCGTAACTGGATACCCAGCAAGATTGCCAGTCTTCTAGCTTGCTTACTTGCCACAAGTGCACTGTGCCACCTACCAATAGAAAGGAAAAAATAATGTGCACATTTCCACGAGAGAAATCCCACGCCTGATTCTATCCTAGCCTGCTTTTTACATCCAACACAAAAACTGCAGTCGTGGTGCTTTCGATTGTACTCAGAACTCGGAAATTCTGCCTTCTGAATAGGAAGATGTAGGAACACCAGACTGCAGATGAGCTGCATACAGGGCTGGACTGGGACAAAAAATCGTCCCGGGCATTTTGACCATTATAGGAAAAATCATAAAGCCTTTGAATGAAAATAAACGCTGTTGTGACAGTGATGTTCACTGTTCTGATGGTATATATGTATCAATCTATCAATTGTTTGTTGCAAGACTCAGATAATTATTTTTTTAAAAGTGAGACATTTTAAATGAGAATAAGAAAGTATTTCTTTGTGCCCCCCTTTCCCTTTTAATGCCCTACATGGACCCCTGGCAACACTTTGCTAGACCCGCCCCTGCACAGTTACCAGCTGTCAGCTACCTAAAAAGGATCCTGGTGTTATTTGTCTCTCAGAAACAGTTCATAACTTCCCTTCAACTCATTCATGTCACCTAAAAGGTAAACCTGTTTCTCCATCACAGCTCTGATGATTCAGTAAGGACATCTCCTGGTTTCATCTTCATGTTTCCCTCTCATCACATATCAAACCGATATCATGACCAGCAGGTTTACAGCTGTGGCTCCAGCCAACATCAGCTGATACTAGAAATTAATATTAAATAAATTCTAAACAGCTGATCAAGCTTAAAAGTGCTGCTGTTGTTTACCGCTGTCATGATCCTGGGTCCTTTTGACCCAGCGTTTTGTGTTTTCTCTTCTTGTTGTTCTCTGTTTAGTGTTTATTCTGTTCTGCCCGTGTGTTCCTGTATCTAGTCCGCGTTTCTTAGTTTGTGTCCTTTCATGTGTAAGTTCCTGTTTTATTGTGAAGGTCTGCGTCTTATGTGAGTGTTTTCAGTTGCCTCCCTAGTCTCGTCACGTTAATCACTCCCAGCTGTGTTCCCCACCTGTGTGTAATCTCCCTGTGTTCTCTGAGTGTATTTAAGTTGTGTCTTCTGTCATAGTAGTTGCT